GCTCCTCTCGGCGGCCGAGCCGCGCGCGCTGCTGGTGCGCGGCCTGTTCACCCAGGAGGAGCTTCCCCGGCTGGAGGCCGGGTGCTCGGCCACCACCGGCACCGCCTCGCGGCAACTGGACCCCGGTGCGTGCCCTCCATCTGCCCCCCCCCCCCGCCCCCGCCGACGCGTCCACGCCTTGCCCCGGCCGCCGGTGCCATGATGCCCCGGCTTGGCTCGGCTCCCGCGGCGCCTTGCTGACACAGGCCGACATGCGCTGGCCCGTGCGCCGGGCCCGCCATCCCCAGCCGCCAGCACCCTGGCCTTCCGCCGGGTGCGGCAGCTCCTCTTCCCGACATCCGACTGGCCGGCCCCCCTGGACCGGGTCAAGTCCCTGCGCTGTGTGCCGGTGGCCGGGCCCGGGCTGGCCGGCGCCGGGCCCCCGGCCGATCCCCTGCGCGCGGCCGATCTCGAACGGTACGCGCTTGGCGGGAGCACCGCGCGCCTCGGGCGCCGGCCTCCCCGCATGGGCCGAGGGCGCGCTTCCCCCTCCGGCCCATGCCGCCATCTGCTGCATGCGCCTCGCGGCCCCCGGCCCCACATCCCGCCTCAGGCCTCTCAGTAACTTACCCGTTGACCCATGCTTGGCGACATTGCCCCGCTGCGCCCCCCCCCCCCCCCGCCCCGCCCCCCAGTGAGGCCAAGGTCAGCCCGCAGGCCCCCGGGCTGACGCTCGTCCTCTGGACCGCGGCCAGTGGCTCACCGGTGCGCATTGTGGTGCCCCCGGCCGATGCCACCGGGCAGGTCCTCCTCCCGCGGACATCCGGCCGGGCGCCCCGGTCCCATGGGCTCTGCCGCATGGACCCCCTTCGGGACGGGTCCATCGAGGTAGACCTGCAGCATGGGGACCTGGTGCTGCTGCTGTCCGAGGGAGGTGGCCAGGTGAATCCGGCGGTGGCCGGGTGCCGGGATCTCGACGCACCGGCCGGCATCGGCGGCGGGGGTCACCTCATCCGCGGGGGCTTTGATCTGGCTTGACGCCTCGCCCGGGGGGTGGCCGAGCTGGCCACTTGCCTTGTTTGCCCTGCCCTCTGCCCTGTGCTTGTTGTTGTGCCCTCTGGGCCCGTGCCTCCGGTCCATGCCCGAGAGATGGGGGGCGGAACATGTACCCAGCAAATAGAACTCAGCCGTCGAGTTAACGGAGGGATGCCGCGCTGGGTTACCGGCGAGGGTTCTGACGGAGCACGGCGGCCGTCACGCCGTCCGGCATCACGCCCCGCACCAATCCTAAACCCCACGCCGCACCAGAACGACAATCTGGGGCCGCATCCCTCGCGCCGGCTCCCCTGGCAGGCACCACAGAACAGGACAGATGCCCGTCCATGGTGGCCTGGCGAGCGGCTCGCCCCGATCGGTTCTCCGGGTCCGATGTCACTTTTCCCCCCTCCCCCCGGTCCCGCGGCGTCAGGGAAAACCCTGTGCCCGTCCGCCCGCCCCCTCGGATCGGGCGCCCGACTGCACACTCTTTTTTTTTTCTTTTTTTTTTCTTTTTTCTCCCAGCCCCCCTCCTCGGGGCGGCCCATCCGAGGGGGAGGGGGAGACCACCGCGCGAGGTGTGCGCCCATGTGTGCGTGTGTGTCTGTGTATGGGTCACAGCGGACCTCCCAGGCGGGGAGTATTTATATGCGTGCCCGGTGGCAGTCCCGGCACACATCGGGCTACCCACTCCGCTTGGCCCGGCCGCCCCCCCGCCCTCCCTGTACGCCCCTTCTTTTGCGCCCCTGCGCCTTCTCCCCACCCTTCCCCCCCGCCCCCCCTCGCTCGCCCCCCTGCACATATGCCCCTCCTCCTGCCCACTCTTCCTCCCGCCTCTCCCCATCCATGTTGCACAATAAGCCGGCGGTCTATACCTCACGGGGAATGATTAGACCGTGACTATGCCTTTGAGTCTCGTGCAAGATCCACACGTCGCGGCTCTTTCCGACGAGCGTGGGGGCCTCCCCGCGCCCGTCTCATGCCGCGCCGGAAATTCTCCTCCTCTCCTGTTCTCGCTCGCTCTCTCTCTCTCTCTCTGCCTCCCGTCTCCCCTCTTCTTTTCTCTCTTTCTGACCTTCTCTCCTCCCCCCTTCTGTAGTTCTTCCGCGCACTTCCGGATGTGTGGGTCCCGCTCCCAAGGCGCGCAAGAGAGAGACAGCTGGCGCCGCCGTGCGCGCGCATGCGATCTCCCTCCCTTTTCCCATTAATAATCGAAGTTTTGCCGGTGCTGTGTTTTCGCAGGCGAGGGGCGCGGTGGTGGGACTCGCCAAAAGAGGGCACCGGGGGCGGGCCAGAGAGGGGAGGGGCCACGGCGCTTGCTCTCATTCGCTCTCCGAGCACACGCCACACCGGAGTCGCGGCACCCGCCCACGCTCGTTTCACGCCGGGACAGCCCCGCTGCCGGCCGCGCGGAAGAGGGGGGACAATGACCTTCCGGTGCCCTGCACGCGTGAATGTCAATGTGTGTGTGTGTGTGTGTGTGTGTGGGTGGGTGGGCGGGTGGGTGGGTGGGTGGGCGGGTGGGTGCATCCGCCAGGGGGAGGAGGCCGAGGGGACCAGTCGCGGATCGGCCCCATGCCCCTCGCTGATCTGCCAACGCAAACAAGACCGGCGACTACAAGGGCACGCGAGTTGCTCGGCACCCCCCCCCCCTCCCGCGAGGGAGATCCCCCCAACCAACCAACTTCGCCCGATCTCCTCCCGCCCAGACACATCCAAGCCACGACGCGCCACAGGGGCAGGAACTCCTGCCTTCCCCGGCATCCCCCCCCCCTCCCCTCCTTTCTCCCCCTCCTGCCCGGCCGCCGCTGACGCCGCGCAGCAAGATGAGCGACTTGCCGGATGGCGGCGCCCCGCCGGCCGGCGCCGGCCCGGCCCCGGGGCAGCTCCATGCCAGCGAGAACATGGTCATCCAGATCGCCGGGCTGCCTTTCCATGTGGGCGCGGCCCACTTCGAGTACCCGGCATTGGACACGGCGTGCGATATGCTGGCCCGGCTGCTGGCCCTGGCCGCCGGGGTGCCGACCTCACGCGAGGCCCTGGTCGAGGGGTGGCTGGCGTCCGAGCCGGCCCTCGGGCTGGCCCTCGACGCGCACGTCTTCCTCGGCATCATGGTCGCCGAAAACCCGCACAACCCCCTGCTGACGAGCCGGCTCTTTGTCGAGGGCTACCTGGCCCTGGCCGAGGCTTGGCCCGACCTGCAGGCGGCCCTGGCCCCGCTGGACACCATGGTCAATGCCTCCCCGTCGGCCGGGCCCGGCGGCCATCCGCCCTCCCTGGCGGCGGTGGACCCGGCACAGATTGCCCTCTGGCTGCCGAGGCTGCTGACGGCCGAGGCCCGTGCCGGCATGGCCCAGCATGTGGCGCGCTTCCATGGCGAGGCGCAAGACCGCCACCGGGTGGCCCTGCTGATGGCCGAGCGCCACCCGGAGGTGGGGTACGGCCCGGTGTCGCAGGCCCTTCGCCGGGGGCGACACCCCCCGCGGGAGGTCCTCCTCCTGCTTCGGGACGCCGACTTCCGGGGTGCCTTCGACCGGCTGAACTTGGGCCCGGGGCCGGGGGACGCGGGCGCCGGGCCGCCGGCCGAGGCCCTGGCCACCCCCCCGGCGGATGCCCCGCCGGCCGGGCCCTTCACCTCGACCCCGACCAGCCGGCCGACCAGCCCGGAGGAGGTGGCCATGATCCTGGCCCACCCGTCGGGCGATGGCCGGCTCAACTGGCTGGCCCTGACCCCGGACTCGGCGGCCAAGCTGTACCTGGCGCTGGCCCCGTCGCGCGCGTGGGACGCGCGTCTGGGCCCCATCTACAGTGTCCCGGGGCTGGAGCACATCGACGGCCGGTGGCGCCCCCACCGGCACTTCATCCTGCGCCATGCGCTCATCAGCGGCGCGCGGCGGATGGAATACACGGCCCGCGTGGCGCCCATCCTCCAAACCATCACCCGGGCAAGCATCAACCCCTTCCTCAGCATGGAGGCGGCCATGTCCCTGGCCGGGCATCTGGCCGTCCTGGTGGAGCCCCAGGACGCGGACATCTTCAGCGCCACGTTCATCCTCTTCGCGCCGCTCACCACCACCGAGGCGCAATTGCTGCACCTGGCCGGGTGGATCGCCGCCAGTGCCGGCCTGCGCATGTCGCCGGAGCAAATTGCCGAGCGCATTCTCCTCGCCCTGGGCAATGAGTCGCGGGCCGCCTTCGAGGCGCTGGTCGGCCTGAATCTGGCCGGGCCGCCGCCGGCGCCGCCGGCGCTGCCATCGTCGGCCACGGCCACGGCCACGGCCAGCTCCCCCCTGCAGGGGCTTCTCCTGGGCAGCATGCCGCCCCCCCGGCGGGATGCCGCGCTGCTGGCCCACTTCCGCGACCTGTACGAGTACTCCCCCTGCAAGGGGGTGTTCGGGGTGCTGGAGGAGGTGATCCTTGGTCTCGGCCCCGAGCACGACCCGCTACCCATGCAGAAGCGCTTCCACGAGGGGACCTCGCTCGAGGGCCGATCGCAGCAGCAGCAGCAGCACCACCACCACCACCACCACCGCCCGGGGTACCATGCCGCCGGGGGCCACGGCCATAGCCGGGTCCGCTTCCGGGCAAACGCCCGCCGGCACTCGAGCCCGGTCAGCCCGACGGCCGGCGCGGGGCCGCACGCCGTGCCCATGGCCGGGGACGACCCCACCGCCGGCGGCCTGGGGCCGATGTCCAGCGAGGGGTTCGACCCGATGCCGGATGGTGGGGGCCCCTTCGCGGCGGCCTCGAGCGATTGGCCGTCCCCGGACTCGCCGCCCGCCGCCAGCCCGCCGGTGGGCGGGCCCGCCACCACCACGACGCCGGACGGGGACATGTGCCTGGAGGAGGGGCCTTCGGCCGATGCCCCGCGGCCCCGGCCCGGGCCCACCCCCGGCGGGCAGATGCCCCCCTCGTCCATGCCCGGGGCCGGCCCGGCGCGCGGGGATCCCAGCCCGCACCCCTCGGGCGGGCGGTTTCTGGTCCGGCGCCGGACCTCCTTCCATGGGAATGTGTGGATGAAGTTCAATTCCGGGGCCGATGTGTCGGTCATCCCGTACTGGATGGTGGCCCGGTTTGGGCTGCAGCTGGAGCGCCAGCTGACACGCTTCCGCGGCCTGGACGGCCGCATGTCCAATGCCACGCATGTGTGCGCCTTCGCGGTGTACCGGCCATCCGGGGCCAGCCGCACGGTCCGGGCCCTGGTGCTGGATGTGGCACACGAGTATATCATGCTCGAGGCGGAGGTTTTCGCGGATTTGGTCCCCGGGCTGGTGGACCTGCGTGTGCTCTTCCGATCTGGCCATCCGGGGCCAGCCGCACGGTCCGGGCCCTGGTGCTGGATGTGGCACACGAGTATATCATGCTCGAGGCGGAGGTTTTCGCGGATTTGGTCCCCGGGCTGGTGGACCTGCTGGCCTCGGCCGATGAGCCGCCCAAGGAGGGCACGGCCACGCTGGAGCCACGCGGCCAGGACCTCCTGCCGCGCGGGCGCAACGACGCGCTGGACTACGAGTTCGACATTGCCCCGCGGATGGAACGCCTGCGGCCGCTGACCGGGGCCCACATGCGGGACCCCTCGTGGGAGCCGCTGCTGGAGGCCTTCCGCCAGCGGCCGGCGTATCCGGTCTTCCGCCACACGACGCCCTTTGTCATCCCGGTGGACTCGGCCAAGGAGCGC